ATACATAATCAGGAAGCCCTTCTTTCGAACACATGCCCTCAGTGTTTCTGGACGATGTCGTTAGATTCTTAAGGCGCTATGGTGCTCTCCGTTTCACCACTTTGCTGCAGCACGCTTGGCAAACGTGGTTATGCAGAGCCTGTGGCTTAGGTACTGCGACGCAATTCGGTATCTGGACCTTGCAAAAACCTTTCAACCTTTTCGTGTGAACGGAGCTGCCGGCTACACTCTGGCCTCGGCAGCAGTTCCTGTGCTTGGCAGGTTCATGCCCGAACTGCTACATGCACTCATACCGAGCGTCTGCGAAAACCCGAACCGATTCCTTTCAGATGCTAGGGGCCCGTGCAAAGGGCTTCGGCTCACTGCCAGCCATGGAAGCGACCCACCATCTGAACACAGATGTCTTCAAGCATGGCTTGGGGCTTGGGCTGGGGATGGTCGCAGGATGAAAAACCCTTACTCGTATTGTTGTTGGCCCAGGCCGTCCTAACTGTACGTATAATTCTTCGACCATTGCACCTACCGCAAGCAATCGTATCTGCTACTTTTTCATTATCCGAGCCCCCAAGCTGAGCAAGAACGATGACACTTGCATCCGTTGTGAGGCCCTTTCGATAACGTCAAGCAGACTCATGCATTCAGGTGGCACGCACCTGACATAAATTGAGTAATCACTGCATTCTGTTCGAGAGCAGCGGGATGCCAACAGGCTGGGTCCCACTAATCAAGCTTATGGTCGTGTTCCGCGCCTGAAATTCCCAACTCATAATAAAACCAAAGACAATAACAATGCTCCGATGTGTTTTAATTGTTTTCATGCTCACCCTCATCAATAAACTTGTTCCATATTCTTATTGTTGCTGTTCTTATGCATGACTGTCTGTATATATATATACACACATGCATGCTTTCATACATGCATACATACTTATACGTGTATGTCTAAGTATGTGTATGTATGTATGTATGTATGCATGCATGTATGTATGTATGTATGTATGCGTGCATGCATCCATGGATGCATGCATGTATGTGTGCGTTTATATATATATATATGTATACACACACATGTGTGTGTGTATGCCTCTAACCTTTAGATATGCATACACATATGAACAAACACATAAGTATACATACCAAATCTGAATAAAACTACAAACGCAAGTAAATCAATAAATGAATCACTACACACATACATATAGAGCTTCAAATATATATATATATATAT